CTTCCTTGGAGGAGTCTGGGGCTGCTACCTGGGATCTGAGGTCCCTATAAGAAAGGGCAAAAGACTCTGGGAGATGCCTGGGAGGAGTCTCAGGTGGATCCCAGAGGAGAGAGCTTTCAGTCCTGGCACCTTCCTTGTGGGAAAACTAGCTGGACGTTTTGAATTTTGGAAATAGGCTGTGCTGAGAACGAGAGTAACGAGACGTTAGTTCACAGGGGAAGCACCGATCCCCAGTGCTGTTGTGCTCCTGAATAGGCTGCAAAGGGAAGGTGATGTCCAAAGACAGCATTAAGTCCTGGCACCTTCCTTGTGGGAGAACTAGGTGCATGTTTTCAATGCTAGAAATTTCCAGACCTGTCCCAATTCAGCCAGGTAAAAAAAAATTATAAAAAAAGAAATTTAAAAAAAATCAAGATTTGTTGGTAATTTAAAAAAAAAAAGTGCTATCAGTTAAGTATCCACGAAATGGAACGGTGTTTACTATAATTTCTGTAACCATTCCTTCTCTGGTTTCATTTAGACAACTCATTTATAAAAAAATAGGACATCAACACAGTAGTTTCTTTTGAGACCCCTCCAACAACTGGAGTCATTACAATGACACAGAATAGGTTCCTGAAAGCACCCAATTGAGTGTTAACAAAAAACTTAATTACAGTAAATAAATAACAAATCACCAGAAATGAAGAGGGAAGTCCATTAAAATACATTCAGAAATTCTGACATTTTCATGCTCCCTTTAAATGTTTCATGCTTTAATGGGCACGTGTAACTGAGTGAAGCATTTTATGCAGTAGCTGGACCTGATTAGACTAAGGATGCTCTTTTTCCACATTTTTAAAATCAAAAACATGATGTTCATGAAGATGGATACGCATGGGATGGAAGGCAAATGCCCAGCACTTTAGTTCTGAAGAAAGAACTTGAAGAACCGAGCTTATTTATAAAATACAAAGACCTCAAAAATAAACTATACAAGTATATTATACACACATATACTATATATCGACATAATTATGAAACTACACAAATTTCTCCAGAATGTAGCTTTCAAATCCTTTTACTCTTCCATGGATGTTCACAGGAAACACTTGAAACAGAAAAAAAAATTATTTGTCAATGTATTATTCTTATTAAAATCTTCATATAATTCTATGGCAGTGCTTGTAGTGCTCAGCCTGCAGCAAAACTCAAATTAAGTGGAATCATTAGTTGCTAATTAATTAGTTAGTAGCTAATCATTATTAGCTGTGGGCAGCAGACTTGATAAAAAAAATCTCTAGATTATGTAGATGTAACATAGTTAGCCTTCCTCTAAATCAACCTTAAATGAATTCACTGAACTGATAACACAGGGAAATCAAATGCAGGTGCTTATACATCAGTATATTTAAAAGTGCTTTTTACAAGGACAACTACACCTGTATTTCACCTGACAGTTCCCCTAGATATGGCACTCTTCCTCACTACCTGTCTTTATACATCCGACACCAAAAATATCTGCGTTTCAGGATTCATGATTTTTGTGTACACTAAAGCATAATCTCTACCCATAATTTGAGTTCACTCCCATTAATAACAAAGCTGTTTTCTCTGCTCTTTCATTTGCCCTTCAGATTTCACCATCTGTTTCAGTGCTTGAGGATCCTTTGGAACAAATAAAGGTGTGCAAGATCCTACAATCAGTGCAACTAATTCTACTATCTGTCCACGCTGTGTGCTGTGGTGCAGCGTGCCCACACTGGGTTTGTTCACCATAGTATTTTAACATCTATGCAAGCACATCAAAGCATTGGGTGGTGGGGTTTGTTTGTTTTAGAAGAGAAACGACAGATTGCTTCATTTTAAAAGCTGTATAACTGCTGGTTGCAAGTCACTGTCTTCACTTTCTAACAAATGCACAGCCTAAATGAAGATTACAGATTTGTATCTTACAACAACTCTGTGTGTGTGTGTGCACAAAAACCTATTTTAGTACCCATCTGTTGAGCTGCTGTCACACTGTACCAAAGAGCGTGACGTTGCAGTGTCACTGTATTATGAAACACAGCCAAATTTTAATTACTACAAGCCATCTTAACAATGATACAAATCCTGTCTATTTTTTAAACAAAAGCACTCCTGAGGTTCTGTTCCTGTGTTCTTTTTCAGATAGCAACAGTGACAAAAATTTTGAAATGCATGTGCTGAGCAAAGAATGTCAGCTAGAAACTGGCATTTTCTGTAACTCCAAATCTGTCTGATGAAGCATAAATGGATCATGTTGAGGTGTGGGGAAGGCAGGAAGATGAACTCCATAAAATATTACATTGCCAGTTCTGGAAAGTTTATGTATTTTTCATTTACTATTCTATTCTCCTAGGAAGTCGTTGTTTTATGGATGCCTTCATAAATTCCAAATAGAACAGCTTTGAAATATGTAACCTCTAGAAATAACTGCACTTACAAAAACTGCTGAGCTATCTATTCCTTTTTTCTGGAGAAGAGTCACTTAACACTGCTCACCTTCAAATTTTCATTCTTACTTGGGCCCTAGGAATATATCACAATCCTTTATACCACAATATCACAACTGAGATCAAATAGCCTGTCGAGTCTAACTGTTGTGCTTTATTTCCAACCCTGCCTCTTACCTGCTACTCTCTATGCTTCAACTTCTCTCTATGTATAATAATAGTAATAACTCTCATATAACTTCGTGAAATGCTTTGATATCTACTGCTGAACAGTGTTACAAGGCAGAGGCAAGTGATTGCCGCTGTGGTGTCACAGGAACATTTTAATGGCACAGAAGAGATGGATTGCTAAGCCACTGCATTTGAAAGAAATGCCCTGTAAGAGTCAATAGACTTTAGAGCCTGACTGATTCTTCAAGAAGTATAGGAACTAGCAGCCTCTCCTACCTCACTCAAACCTTTAGCCCAACCTTCCTTGTATTTTTTACCAGTGTCCATCTTTTCCCAGTGAGCATGTATTTCCCAAGCAGCAGTACATCAATTGCTTCATTAAAGTTCAGAACAACTAGAGATAACTCAAAGAAATCAATGCTCCAACCCCCTTTTTCTCAAAAATCCCAGTACGTCCTATCCAGTAACACTCTGGTAAACAGTTTGTGTTTTTAATTTTCTCCCCTCCTCCCCCGCCAAGCCCCATTCCAGAGCCTGGCAGACTGCTGATGCTAAACTAATGCAATTACATTGTCTGGATCACTTTTTCTATGTTTCCTTCTTCCTTGGCTAGAGTTAAATCTCCTTCCTCTTTTTTGTTGTAAGCTAGAGCAAAATTGTTTAGTGTTTCATGATTCCACCCACTCATGCTAAGCACACAGCACCTCCACTTCTTCCTTGACCTTTACTTATATAAGATACTGTTTTTAATTTCCTTTATGTAACCTTCAGGTTTCCTTAGCAATAGCTAACATACTCTGACATATTCTGCCTCCAAGACAAACCCTTCCTTGCCAATCAAGGCAATTTTTCACTTCTATCATGTTTTCTTTCTATTCCTTAAGAACCCCTGTGCTACATCAACATTTGCCACACCCCCCCCTTGCAGTAGAAATTCCAGAGCTTTTATATTTAAACTCCAAATACACTCAGTATTTACTACCTTCATTTTTTTCCTGCCAATGATTTCACTGCCTTGCTCCTTTAAACTTTTTGAAAATAAAAAAAAATGAGGTATTCCTGGGGGTTTTCCTTAATTAAAAAAAAATAAAAATTAACTCCTGAACACTGGCTCCATTGTTATTTTCTGCAACATCTTTATAAACCTAGCCAAGTCTCAAGTAACACCATCTCAGTTGGCTGTTTTTTACTGCTCCCAGAGAAAAGATAACTAGAAAAATTCTATTAGTAGTGTTGGTAGCAAAGGAGCTTGCAGATGATGATAAAAGAAAGTCAAATATACTCGACTATCAAAGACGCTAATTAACATCTCCCTGACGCACATGCAGGAAGCCGAGATCCCCTAGGATAACCTCAGAGATGTTATTACGTTGTTAACAGACCGCGTAAGACTCAAAATTCATGCTCCGCGGGTCCTGGGAGCACACACACAGGTATGAAGTGTCCACGCTTACCCGCCCCGCTACCTTCACACAGAGGGGCGAGGGCGGCGTGCCGCCATTCAGTCCCCCTTCCTCACCCCTCCGGGGAAGGCAGTGCTCTCCGGGACCCCTCTGGACTTGCCGGCAGGTACGCGACCTCCCCGCAGGTTTCTGCCCCTCCAGCGCCCGACCCCGTACGGCCGCCAGAGCCGCCTGACGGCAGGGACTACTATCCCCCAGGATCCGGCTCCCCTCAGGATGGCCTGAGGCAGAGCGCTACCAGCCCGGGGCGAAAGAGGAAGCGGCCACAGCCTCCTACCTCGCCCGGGCTCGGGAACCAAACCGGGCTACGCGGAGAGGCTGTCCCGCCCCAACCGCTCCGCCAGCGCGGTGTTTGCGGCTCCGTCGCTAGGAGACGCCGCGCAACGCGCCCTGAGAGCCAGCGGGCAGGAAGAGGAGCCCTGATTGGAGGAGTTCGGCTGTCACGCTAGTGCGCTTCCGGTAGCGTGGCGCCGGTCCGCGGGAAGGAGGAGGCGGCCGCCGCCGCCATCGCCATGGGCATCCAGGGGTTGGCGGGCTTTGTGGAGGAGCGCGGGGTGTTCTTCACCGAGCTGCGGGTGAGAGACACCAAGCTGGTCATCGACGGGAGCAGCCTCTACCACCAGCTGTGCTTCGCCTCCGCCGTCGACTTCCGCCGCGGCGGCGATTACGGGCCCTTCACGGCGGCCGTGCGCGACTTTTTCGGCAGCCTGCGGGCCTGCCGCGTCGCCCCCTTCGTGGTGCTGGACGGCGGGCGCGGCGCCGACGACAGGAAGCTGCCCACGATGCGAGGCCGCGCCGCCGAGCGGCTGCGGGCAGCCTACGGCCTCTCCCGCGGCGATGGCGGCTGCCTGGTGCCACTACTGACGCGCGAGGCCTTCGTGCAGGCGTTGGGCCGGCTCGGCGTGCCCTTCGTGCAGTGCTTCGCCGAGGCCGACCGGGAGATCGCTGGCCTGGCCAACCGCTGGGGCTGCCTCATCCTCTCCCTCGACAGCGACTTCTGCGTCTTCGACCTGGCAGCCGGCTACTGCCCCCTGACCCACTTCCAGTGGCAGAGCGTGTGTGCAGGAGAAGGGGTGCAGGGCTGCTACGTTCCCGCTCGCTGCTTTTCCGCGGAGAAGTTTTGCAGGCACTTCAGTCACCTGAACAAAAGCCTGCTCCCTCTCTTTGCCGTCATGAACGGGAACGACTACATCGATCGGGCAGCTCTTGAGGCCTTCTTCAGCAAGGTGCGCTTGCCAAGGGGGTGGGCAGTGGGGAAGGGGAGGAAGTACGCCCACCTTCAGGGGCTTCTGAACTGGCTGTCGCAGTTTGCTGGGCCCACCGAGGCTGTCGACAATGTGCTGAAATACCTTAAAAAACACCAGAGAGACAAAATAAGGGAGCTTCTGTGCACTTCAATGGAGGATTATACTCCCTCCAATGTGAATCTTGAGGACTTTTTTCAGAATGGAAAGTATGAATGTGAGGCTGCCAGGAAAGCAGACTTACCACAGTGGGTACTCGATGCTTTGGCAAAAGGTAAGCTGGCCCCATTTATCAGCGATGCCCTGATACTAAGAAGTACCTTCCTCCATGTTCAGGTGGAGAACATGCAGAGACCTAGCGCACATAGCACAGCTTTGCCCATTCGACAAGTTATCTATGGACTGCTTCTGAGAGTATCTCAAAGTACTGAGGCTGCTTCTCCAAGTAAACAGACCAACGAGCTGCCAGTTGTATGTGAATTTGACAGACTCCAAAAGACACTTAAAAAAACATTTGTTCAAGCAGCAAGCCGACCCACAGATTTCCGTGATTATCATTTTCCTTTGGACAAGTTAATGGAGGTAAATGGTTGTCACAACAGATCACAGTTAACAGTGTTTCACAAGTGACAAAAAAATAGTTGGGACTTAAGTTTGCCAACTGGTTGCTAAATGTGATGCCTGAACTAAGCCAGCTAAGTAACTACTTAATACAGAGGTACCTACAGGGCTCCAAGCTTGGCATGTGATAGTTGAGAAGCTGCATAGATTGCCTTTATCTTCCCTTCCCCCCCCAAGTGTACCAAGACAAATTATCAGAAAATTTGGTTGTGTATATATGTAGTAATGCCTAAATGTTCCATTCTAAGCCTTTCTTTCATCCTATGTATTCTGCTACCCTAATACAATTATAAAAGCAAGTAGGAAGGAACTCAGTTTCATGGAATTTAGAAAAGTAGAATTTAACACTACAAAAGTTAATTTATATTTGATCAAGCTATGGCTGTTTCAGAGCAATGTTCTGAAACAAAATCTAACCCATGCTTTTTTACTAAAAGTCACCGTTATTTCATCTATGAATCTTGCAGCTGCCCAGCAATTTTACCTGCTGCAAGTATGTGTCCTGTTAATATGGACCCCTACTGCTTGCCACACAGAACAGCACCTGAAAAATGGCTTGTAATCAAAGGAAAGTTGTACTAAGTTAGTTCCAGTCACCATTAGCAAGTCTGTATATTTAAATTCTAACGATTAAGACTGTCACTCTTGCTGTGAATGGAAAGTAATCTCCCATTCCCAAAGTTGCATAACTGAGGTCTTGTATGCAGTAATTTGAAACACCTGGAAATACAATCTGTGCCTTTTAATAATGCATATTTAAGCCACATGCTTTAGCCATTCTGGCATTCAGACCAACTGTTAACACATCTCTGTGCATGGGCTGTGCTGTATGTTTTTATCACTTCCTGGTGGCTATTTCATATAAGAACCAAGTCTATCACTACTATGACCATTAAACGCTACAGATAGCTATGGATCCAAAGGCCTACATACAGGTTATTTTACAAAAGTTATTGTTACAGGTCTTTTAAACGAGCAATATGCAAACACTTATGAGTTTGAAAAATCATGTTTGGGGATTTTAAGAAACACCAATGACAACTTAATTTGGTCTTGGTGTGTATGCTGTTTAATGAATTTGAGCTTCTGCTATTACAACAACTCTTCTTACTAAATATATGGGAATTATCAATTCAACAGAAGGTTAGAAGAAGAAAGGTTATTCTGCATTTAAAGTGCTCTAGGCAAAACTGGTTTCAGTTTGTTGTGTTCTCTGGGGATGTCCGCTTAAGAACAGGCAAAACCATCCTAATCAAGGTTCACAAAGCACTCCAATTACAATTGAACAGCCTGCTGCAATTCTGCTGTGTTCATGAAGTTATAGACAAAGTTTATAACACCACTTTTTAGAATTTAAATAGCACAATAAAGAGGGAATATGTGCTAGGAATTAATACCTTGCAGGTGAAAATTGCAAACTTCACACTTAAGATTTCAGGTAAGCATGTTTTCAACATACCAAGAACAGACATCACCATTACATCTCACAAAGCAAGGGTAACTTCTAAGAGGCACAAAATGAAGGTGTGTTTATATATATATAAATAAATATATATATATAAACTTTGCCATACCAAAGTAATTTTAATGCATTATGGTTCCAGGATTTTCCAAGCATGTCAACTTTTACATAGGAGTTTAATTTAAGTCACCTGATTTGAAGAAGACTCTGAAACCTCTTAAAATCTAACCTTGGGCCGTTGTAAAAAATTGCTTTTATCCTTCTACCTAACATTTAACTGTGTAGTTTTTAAAGCTAAAGTAGTATTTAAAAAATACTTTCTGTTCAGAATATCTATGAAACTTAAATATTGTTTTATCAAAAACATGAAGTACTAGCTAGTTTCAACACAAGCTTATTTGCCTTTTGGAGATTGCTCTTAGCTTTATTTTTCCACTCCATTTTTTTAAATTTCTTTTCAGGTGCCCATGTCATGCCGTCAGATGCTTTTGCTGGAGACTCTAGGAGTGAAAATGAGTTTCCTAGAATCTATCCCCAGTCACTTACAACTCCCTGTTGCTGTAACGTGTTACTGGATATTTTGTTCAGAACCAAAAGTTAAGTTGCATCAATTAAAGGCTTTACTTCTAATGATAGTATCTGGAGAACTGCACAGGATAACAAATGATCCAGGTATGTCTCCAAATAATACCATTTTAGGTGTTCAGCTACTATGAAAATCTATACCATAATTCATTTTTCCTCATTTGTGGAAATTCAGATGAATTACTATTGATTTATACTATATCCTGAGGTGTCACATTCTTTTGATACAGAGCAGAGAAACAGTGCTAGCCATTTATTTAACATTTTATATAGGTAAAACAGTACTTTGCCATCTTGTAAAACATTAATTTGCACTTATAAATGCTTTAAGGCTAGAAGATTAAATTAGATATAAAATTTACAAAAAAATTAGCTTAACATACTCATGCACCCAAAAAGAATAACTACTATTGATGCATTCTGATAGATTTTTATTTTCTCGTGAGTTTTTCTAAAATCATCTGTACTTAAAAATGCTGAGTTGCACAGGCACCCTTTTATCTGCCTGTGCATTGTGAGAATTTGAAAGTACCTAAAATCACCACAGAAATTGTTTCAGTAATATTTATACCTATTAAGAGTTATGGTGGCATTTCCTCTCGAGTCCTTCATTTGATGGCATGCCAGGGTTATACAGTTTCTTTAAGTTCTAGTTTATATAAACTGGACTGATGTGGTTGCCACCTGCTTCCCAAGTAGGTGGGAGTGAGATGGAAATCTTGGAATTGATCCACACACAGAACAGCATAGCTGTTACATTACCTAACAGACAGAAATCCTGATTTCACAATTTCAGATTCTTATGGATATTCATACTTTAATTTTGACTCAGTTTTATGTCTAAAAGTTCAGTCTGAGACATTTGAAAACATTACTGGTGCTTCCTGAAATGGAACTGGAGGTTTAAAGACCCTATGCATTGCAGGTACCTTTCGTAGTGTTCCCAGCAGAACATTTATTTGCCTGTCATTTTTTATTTATAACCTAGATCTCACAGTTTTATGTACTGAAGATGACAGTATTGCATACAATGAATTTCTAAAATGGAAGGAAGAGAAATTGCAAAATAAAGACTTCGATTTAGATGCTGCACACAGTTTTTGCCAGTGGCAGTGCTGTCTTCAGATGGGATTGTATCTTAACCAGCTACTTTGCACTCCTCTCTCTGAGCCAGACCTAAGTAGGTAAGGATGTTTCAGAGATCTGCTTTCCACACAAGCCACTGATGGAATGTGTTCATGTTTTATTTTCTGTGTCAAACGCCTTTGGCCAATTTTACTACATTTGAACTCCCTTCTTTAAAGATACTAACATGGAGAAAAATACTGAGTAGAATAGGTATCCCTTGGGAGCCTGCTATTGGATACTGTATGTAGTTAAGATCTGTATTTCATTAAGCAGCATGTTTCTACCTGTCCTACTGAGGTGCAGTTCTAAATGAGGATTCTCTCCCTCCTTTGAGCAGGCTTTACAGTGGGACCCTTGTACACAGACTGTATCAGGAACTTAAATCAACACCTTCAGTGGAAAATCTGTTTAGTTTATCTCCAAAAATGATTCAGCTTTATCAGGTTTTGTTAAATACAGTGGAGTCAACTGTATCTCCAGACTTCATTCAGAAAATGACCAAGACCAAATCTGAGTCCTGCAAAAAGAAGAAAGCATCTAATAAGAAAAAAAAGGCCATTAGATGTGCTGTACCAGAAACTCGGCATTTATGCAATGTTAATAGGTTTGCATCACTTCGAGTGGATGACTGAAAGCATTATTCCCGGAATAACTTTCAATGCCATGCAGATGGAAGAAATTATATTAAAATACATGATTGTATTAGAATTTGCTCAGCTGTTTTCACAGAAGTTCCTGATTCAATCTTTACCAACAATTCCTTCTTCAGGGAATTTTTTTGTTTGTTTTATTTACTTTTTTTGTAACACTCTTATAAAAGGTGCTGTATAAAAGTTGTGGTGTCTTGTTTTTCTTTAAAGGTATCAGTCTAATTGAAAACAAGAGCAAAGTTGTTCAGCATTTCAGAGCTGGACTATTTTAGAGGAATTCTTTTCCTGAACATCTATAGTTGGCTATCCCTCCATCTACCTGAACACTTCTAACTTCCAGAAAATGCAATTTTTACATTTGTGTTTGAGGAACACAGTAATTACGATCTTACAGATTAGATAATGGAAATGGACAAGTTGTTTAAAAATATTGTAGAATCTGTCTTCACAGGTAGAGTATTTGTACTTTTGGCGAGAGCTAGCTTTACTTGGTGACAACTAAGTTGTGCTTGCAGTATTGTAAGTACTGAACTATACGTGGGGAGAAACTTCAGCTTCCATTCCTCCCACCTCCACTGTGGTGTGCAAGTAAGGGTTAAATGCTTACATGCATACACAAAAAGTTATCACATAGTAGCAAGTTTCAGCAGGTTTGCCAATTCAGAGTAATTGCATATCATCTGCCATTAAAAAACTGTTGTCATTGGAGTTAACCTCCTTTCTCTAAAGACTCTACTAAAATTACAGACCTGTTTAACTTCCCCAGTGTACACTGTTACTTGACAAACCCTTACTATCAACACAATAGGGAAAAACAATTTAAATGCTGTTCTTATAAAACTGTTGGTTTTCCAGTGTCTTCCCCACGTGAAATCTAATTACTACATTTGTTTTTTCTCAAGAATCTGTATACCTTTTCTTACATTCAGAAAAATAATTATTTTTACCTTTAATCATTGAGGTTTTGCCCCTTACTTACCAGAATTCAAGCTTGATTCATGCATTGTGTGCTCAGTTTTCAGTCCTGTTTACATCTGCTGAGAGCTATCCACATGGAAGTAACTCACTAGGTCTTGTGACTTAGAGGAAGTATCTCTGATATCATACACCTGAGTCTTGATACTGCCATAATATATTCAATGAGAATAGTCTTATAACATCCATGAGAAAACTATTTTTGAGATACAGTCTGAGATAGTAATTTAACTTTCTTCCAGTATGAAAACTGCTACTTATTAAACTATTGGCAGATAGCAGCTACACTTAACCATACAGCAAGTTACTAGAACTTTACAACCCATTTTTAATTAGACTTCTATTTGCAGCAGTCTACAAAGTCACATTTCCATCAGATGACTTTAAGGTTGAAAGGGGTTAAAGTTCTTGATTTTAGTAACTAAAACTTAAATCCTTTATAATCCAAATCATCCTCTCATTCACTATGGTCCCACGTGTTTCATTTTACCAAGCTTGTAGCTCCTTATGGTTTTTAATCATCAGAAATAGCCACATTTAAAATAAGTCTTAAATACAAAAACACAGGCATCTTTGATTCCACTTTGCTAGTGCTGTGAGAAGAGAGATCTTAATTTACTCTGAATCCCATACTGGAAAAGTGCTGGACAACACAAATTCTTGAGACTTGCTGAGAAGCAGTATCTTCAATTGGATAGTTCAGAGGACTGGGATAAATTCAAGTGTTCCACTTTCAGATAAAAAGGCTGCTATGATCACATGGCATTTTGAGAATACCTTTGGGAGTGCTGACTCAATTAAGAATTACTCTACTGGAAATGTGTTCTCAATGCAGAATTCAGCTGTTCTTTGTTGCTGATAAAATGAAATACACCTCACTGCAAACACCAATCCTGTACGTGGAAGAAAATAATTACTGATTCTGGGGTTACTATTCAGAATGTTCATCCAACATTCCAGTTTTCCTTTTTGAGTTGTTATAGATTTTCAATCTTCTTTGGGGGGAAAAATAATTTTAAAAAAGGGCTCTTACTAAAACTGAAAAGTTCTCTATTCAATGCTTTAGTAAAAGCAACTAAATTCCTTGGTTGCTATTTTCACCCCTCATTTTTTTGTGGAAAAATCCCACTATTAATTCAATTGTTTTGGGGAAAAAATCTCTCAAACTTGCTGTTAGGTGGTAATGATGAAGAGTGGAGCCAAAAAATTGCAATAAATAATGAGATTGAGCTAAATTAATTACTTGCTCCTGTTTCTTCTTCCATTGGAAAACACAGCAAAACTTAGTTTGGCATATTTAAAGTGAATTGCATTCAATTAATTTCACCTGTAAGAAGGCAGAACTGTTTGTAAGAGAAATTTTATTTCTTGTCTAGACTGACAAACCTTTTTCAGAAAGTGAGACTTGTGCTGGGAAAGGGGTGCTTCAGAAAGTTTGTTTAAAGACTGGGCAATAACACTTCCAAGCCAAGATGACAAATGGGCATTCATCTGTACTTCTGTACTTACCTGGATTTCTGGGACTCCAAGACCTAGTGCAGAGCACAAAGTGGTCAAACCCCATGGAGAATATCAACAAGAAGTTAAGACTTAATATGTGAAAGGTATAGTTGCTATACTTTCTCAAAACCCAAGTTCATTCAAGAGATTCTTCATCAGCACACATTGTCAGTTTTTACTACCTGTCTTTACTGAAGAATAACAAAGATTTATTATTAGTAAGTGTTCTGAAGTTGTACTGAAGTACAAAACACACTACAACAATACTGAAAAACTGCAGCACCACTTGCCAAAGTTGGTAATAGGAACAGGAGGAACACTGACAAATCTGTTCAACTTCTGAAAGGCAGAACTGCTGGAAAGAAGAAACTTTTGCTTGAACACGTAAGAGTATTTCTGTAAGAGGTCATGTTGTTCAGGCCCTACCAGCTCAATAGTTCACATAGCATCCTGCAGGAAGTGATGAGGGCCATATGCTGCAGTCTTTGCCTTTACACAATTAGATCTCCAGCACATTGGTAGTCCAGGTAATGTGTGCATATTGAGCAGGCCCAGGGTCAACCACAGCAATGGATGAATTGCATGTGTAAAGCAGACTCAGTGGTGCACCCATGTCCTGTCTGCAGCCTCACTTCCTGACCAAGTCTGGGAAGCTCCAGAGGAAAAAAAGAAGAGAACAATTAAAATAACCTCTTCACAGAGAAATTCATACAGCACTTTCCGAACTGCCTTGTTTTCCACAAACACCTCAGATTTTGAGCATGGCGTGTGGAGCAAGCCACAAAGGTAAGTGCAGAAATATCCCAGTGCCTGTTTACAACAACTTCTCATTAACTGACAGGATGATCATCATGACAAGCATGGCCCAGAGCCAATACCAATGCTATGCTTTCAGGCTACAGTGTGGAAAGATGTCCATCCACATGCTTTCAAGCAAAAGAGATACCATTACATCTCCAACTCCCCCTAGAGATCTGAGGCATCCTCTTTTCAAGATTCCCTAGGTGATTGTTCCTTGCATTTCCTCAAGGGATGATGAGTCCTACTCTCATAAGACAACACCGATGACAATAGCTGCAAGTCTATTTTTGAAGAACACCATTTCCAATTAGTGAATATTAGAGTTATTCAGGCATCATCATATATTAAAAATACTTTTACCATATCAGGACACAAATCTATTATAATGCTTTTCTAGCCACAAAAAGTCATTCTGTAGGTTAACATTTTAAGTTACATGACCAGTAAAAAGTTTATTTTTATCATCAGGGTGGAAGAAGGAAGAAGGAAAACCAAACTTCTTTGAAAGCGGGGAGGTGGAGGGGTTTTGCCACTAGAGCAAACAGGATCACTGCATTCATTTTCTAATTCAATACACTACAAATCATTTCAATAACAGTACTGTCTTATAATCACTCAAGTGGTCTAACAGTCATAAGCTAAAGTAAATATGGAACAAGACATGAAACAAAGCTTGTATCTAAAATTATACCAAAACAAGCATACTAATCTGGTGTAAGTGCCAGTTTCTTTTAAAACAAAGAGACCACACGCTTTTAAGAAAAGAAAACATTTACTTCAAATTGCAGTATAGGCTTTTCAATCACAGAAAAAGAAAAGAAAAACAGTGATCTGACAGCGGTCACATCCTGTGCAAAAAAACCTCGGGATACAAAAAAACCTGTAGCACAAGATACTTGAGCCGCTTACACATTGCAGGATAAAGTAAATAAATACAGTAGCTAGAATATGGCACTCTTGTGACAGACTAAACCCAGTGGAATGCCTCTGAAATATTTTTTTACCCTTGCGTTAGTAGCAAAGTCCCACCACCACCATAAAAGTAAAATAGTACAATGTTTTAAATAAAAACAAGCTAAAATATTTATATCTAAGAGAAGGATTTTACAGTTGTATCTTTTAAGTGCAGAAAATGGGACTTGGGCTTAGATCTTTAACACACACACGCGCGCACACACTCACCCCCCTCCCCCAAAATCCCATTCAATCTCAAAAGTAAATTTGTTTGAGGAAAAACATTACCAAAGTTGCATAATTTCATTTGTTACTCCCACAGCTGGAAGTTAAATTCTAAACAGTCTTGAAACATGAACGTTCATCGTTAGCCAGTGAAACAAAGGCCTTGTCAAAAGCCCTCAGGATTTCTTTATCCTCCAAATACTATTTTGCTTTCTCCTACATCTTTAGACAGCAATCCCTAAATTTGCAAACAAAAGAATGCAATATGCATCATACATCAAGAAAAGACGAAGTTGACAAAGAAGAACTTCCACGTTTCTGGATCTTTTCCTTGCTTCTTTCAAACTTCTTTATGATCTCAGTCACTATGCACACAGAGGAAGTAAGTCCCAGAAGAAAAAGTAAATCTGGAAAGAGATAATTAGCCTTTTTTAAATTTGCTATTTAAGGCTGAGGGCAAACTTAGAAAACAACAAAACTTACAAGACTTTCAAATTATCTCCCAATCATTGGGTAAGTTCAAGAGA